ATAAACAGAGACAGAGAAGGTTATGAGAAGCCATGTACCACAATTCTGAATGAAGGGCGAGGCTAAAAGTGACAAAGCAGCAAAGTGGGAGTGAAGACCGGTGAGGTAGTCAACGAGGACTGGGTATTGAGCAAGGACCTGCAGTGAGACAAAGTTCAGATAAAGAGATCAACGACAAGTGTTACGTTAAGGAGAAGAGATTTTATATATCACCTAGGCATGCGTATACGGTATTGTTATCAAAATTGATTTAGCGTTATGATTCTTAAAGTGTTTAATAATTTCTTTTAGAGTAGTACCTCTACCAAAATAATTATTTTTTTAATTAAAAAATTTTAATACTATTTTATTTTATTTTAAAAAATTTAATATTAATAAATTTTATATTTCAAATTTAAGATTAAAAATTATCAATATTTAAAATTTTCAAAAATTAATTAATTTTTGCTCTTACCCAATGTATTTGACTTGCGGGTCCACTGAATTGGGTCATTTGGATTTTGGGTCGAGACTAGTATGGATTCGGAAGCCCACCCAAAGCCAGAACGTCAGGTTGGGATGTCGGATCAGATATAATTTTTCTTCAACTACTTAAAATTTTTAAGCACCCTAAATGGAAGAGCTGGATTTCTTTTTTTTTTTTTTTTTTTTAGCCAACAATGGAAGAGCTATATGTTCCCACCAAATTTATGAAGTAGAAGCATTATATTATATATAAGGTCTAGGGTGTTTTAAATCAAATTGATAGAATTATAATATTTTTTTATGGTTTAAAAAATAGAATTTAATATTAAATAAGTTATATGTTTGGTTAAATGTTAAATTTGGTCCCTCAACTTTAAGGTTTTACACAACTTTCATCCCTTAACCTTTTTTTTGCACTTTTTGATCCTTTAACTATAAAAAATGCACTCTTTTAGTCTTCTGTCAATTAATCCGTTAAATCTATTTAAATCTACACATTTTTATTCCTCAACTTTTGGACAAAAAATATACATATATTAAAAATTGAGGGATTAAAAAATATGCAGACTCAGATAGATTTAACAGATTAATTGACAAAAAAATTAAAAAATACATTTTTCATAATTGAGAAACTAAAAAGTGTCGAAAAAGTGAAGAGATGTCAATTGTGCAAAATACATCTATTTCAATCAGTTCCTATATAATTACATTTTAAAATTTGTTTACTTTTAATTTTATATCAAAAAATAATAATTTTTTAATTAATATGTTATATAATATATTAAATTGAAGTAT